TATTAACCTTGTCTTTTATAAACTTCATAACATTAAAATTTTATAACAATAACTGGGATATATATACTTTGAACTTTTTAAGGGAACAGAATGATGAGTAATGGACTAATGGATAGAATAATGCTTTTACATAACTTTTTCCTTTTATTATCCAAGAGTACGTGCAAATAAAAGATCCGTTTTTTTTCATTAACTCTCCTTTATCTTCTATCTTAATTTGTTTCCACAACCAAAAAAAAAAATAGATTGAGTATAATACTTTTTAAAATTTTAATTATGTATTATTTTTTTTTATATATAATTATACTGCGATTAAAAGAGAATATATGAGAATCTGAACAAGCAGAGCAGGTGTCAACAAAGTATTACGCAAAAAACAAATTGAATTAGCAAAATAGAGTAGAATAGGATTTAATCGAGCAGAGCAGAGCCGAACAACTCAAATATATTGGGCGGTTGGGCGGAAGATGTATTACTCATACTTCAATATGGAGTAGAAAAAACCAAATTGTGAAGGAGAAATGAACCTGCAATTAGTGTAATTAAGTAGACAAGAAAATCTAGAAGGATCCCACACAAAGACAAAGGAAGAAAAAGAGTTGCACACGGTTGGATCAGTCTTTTTGAGCTGAATTTCATGCGGGTATCTCTCTCTCTGTCTTTTGCCTCTTTTTTTTTTTTTTTTTTTTTTTTTTTTTTTTTTTTAAAAAAAAAAAAAACTATATTTTCAAAAAAAAAAAAAAAAAAAGATGCTATGAAAAAGATGGGCGTTGTTTGCGATTATAAAATATAAGTCAATGAGATTTTTTGTCTTTAAAGGAAGGACCCAAGAGCTAACTAGAAAACAATAAGCATTACTTAAATGAGTCTTGTTTTTACAGAAATAAGAGATGTTCTCGTTTCGATTGAATCATTGTGTTTGTTTAGAGGTTGAAAGTTTGATTGTTTTGTAAAAAAGAATAAAAAAAAAACTGAGAGTTCAATTTATGTTACTAAAAGGTGATTTTAAATCAAAATTAACATATCAAAACTCTCATAAAATACGCTAAAAATACTTATAAATAAAACATTATACTATTCGACTTATATATACTACTCATATTAGTTAAGTCATTTGCTCTACAAGCCAAGAAGTTAAACATATACATGTATGTTATACTCCTTTTTCTCTTGAACTAAAGGCCTGTTCTGATTGACTGAACTGGGTTAAACTGAACTGAATTGAACTGGGTTAAACTGAACTGAATTGAATATTTTATGAGAGAAGGAAATTAAAAACTGAACTGAACTAAACTAAACTGAAAATAAGCTAAAAAGAACAGGCCCGTAAATTCTACCACCAATCACCTTTTTTTTTTATTTTTTTTTATCTACTTGCATAAATCTTGTACAAGTAAATCAAATCCTAGGGAGTATTACTTGTAGGTTTTTAATTTGTTATCATTTGTCCTCCCAACTAGTTATGCTATTGATATATATTAGCTAGCAAATTAGCATATATATGCTTAAGTACAGTTTATGGTCTTAATTAGCAAATAAGATCTAGTAACTTAGGGCTTGTTTGACATTGTTTTTTGTTTTTTTGAAAACTAAAAACCAAAAACAGGATACAAGAAAAAAGGTGTTTCTACTTTTTGGTTGTCAGTTTTCAAAATTATCATAATTTTAATAAATTTGCCTAATTTTTTTTATTCATTACATGATATATATCATATGATTTAAAAGAACAAAAAACCAAAAAACAGAAAACATAACAAAATTACCTAATTTACTCACATTAAAAATAACTAATTTCTCAATCCAAAATCACTTTTCTTTTCATAATGAGCAAAGGTCAAAGATCACCATTATAATGTTTGTGATATTATTTGACCAAAACAACGTACATATTACGGAGTACTAAGTAAGATAGTATATCTTATAATATAATTGATGATTCGATTATCTAAAGTCATAGTTATAATAATTTCTTGTTTGATAGGCTAAAAAGACTTGGCTTATTTGGGGGCTTACCCAACATTATTACTCTACTTTTTAATTAAATGTATTTGTAAGATTGTACATAACTAATTAATTTTTGATAGGTACTCTGCCAGCCAGCAAGAGTTTAAATTGATGTGACTTTTATTTGATGATTTAAGTCACTTCTCATTCTAATTTATGTAATGAATTATAATTAAATAAAAAAAAATGAGTAACTTGTCATTTTAACTTATATTAATGAATTATTAACCGAATCTTTATTTATCTTGTCTCTAGATTGGGCGGGCCATTAATGGTGACATTTTAACTAAATTATTAACTCATTAACTAAAGTCTAATGCTAGATTATACAGTACAGAAGCAAAAGTGTTTTTTTTTTTTTTTTTTTTTTTTTTTTGTTTGTTTGTTTGACAGAAAATTTAATTATCACAAAATATATAGTGGTAGAATTTTGTGGCCTCAAAAGCTAAATATAGACCGGTGTTTTATGGCTATTGTCGGTATGTCACTAATACTATGATTTGTGTGATTAATTAGCTTTATTAGCCAGACATGTTTGCTAATGAGTGGGATGCTTTATCAAGTTGCAACAAAAGGAACAATGATTTCTATATGGAGTATACGTAAGAGATTCAATTTCTAAATTGACTATAAAAAAAAAACCCTACTACTTCATATTATTTTGGATTAATTATATTGAACGGAAAACAATTGAATTGAATTACAACAAAAGTAAGATAGCAGGGCCATATAAGAGCAATATGCGAAGTAAAAACTTAAAAATAAGTTCAAATAACATCTTATATTGTTTGCTTATCTTTTCTTGCTAAATTCTGCTTTTAAATAGCAAATTTTGTTTTGGATAAGGAAGAGCATGCAATATTGTTATTTACAAACTACATATGAGTACATGACCATTTTAATACTAAGGGCCTGTTCACATAGCGCATTAAATTTACACTTGAAAATTGTAAAAAGTTAAGAAATCATAAAAATATATACACTAAGCTAATTACACAGTTACACTGATTTATGCGGGTTTTTGTCATGAATTCCTAATTTTATACAATTTACAAGAGTGTATTTAATGCTTATATATATCTCTTATGCCTACATATAGCATTACCCTTTCATAAATACGCAACAAAATTTTCTTATATGTGCCAAACAATTACTTGGATTTTCAGAGGGATTTTTTTTTTGTTATATTATGATGCCTGCTCGAAATTAATACTTACATTCAATGCTGAATACCAATAACAACAATAATAATCACTATCATCTTTTTATATGTTATGAAGGTTAACATCAATTTAGATAAAATTAGAATTGTTTATTTTGGCAAAATTTAGAGCATATGAAATGAAGTAATTAAGGTGAACCCAACATGACCTATTTTAGGAAGATTTGGCAGTTGAGCTTACAGCTCGCTATGTGATACTGTGATAAGGATGTGTGAATTAGTCTTAATCATATAATTAATTAGAAAAAAATTCTAACCTAATCATTAGTAAAAGTGCTGAAAATTTTCTCTCAATTATTTAATTTAGACAATTTCTCAACTAATCATTAACGTTATGGTGCACTAATGTGGTCATATCAAACTTATTAATCAGTGCAATTATCATTAACTAAACGTCATACATGGAAAACCCATGAATTATTAAGTTAATAAGTTGTTGCACCTCATTTCCTTCGTTTGGTACAATTAGAATAATTTGCAATCTTAGCAAGTTATGACTTTTTTTTTTTCCTGAAATTTCAAACAAATGATCTTTCTTCTTGTGCGGTTATAAGATTTTTCACATTTATAATAATCGTACGTGTGTAACTATTTTGCTTTTCCCTTCACGAACTGAAAAGACATTTAAAAAATACTTCGTAGTTCTTAATAAGATAAATTTATCATTGTTATTCTCTCCGTCATTTCACTATGGTTACATGTTTAAACTTTCCAAAAATAAAATACTACGGAGTATTTATTTTACACGTTTACCTCTTTTGATACTATTTATGGCCTTCTAATGAGAACATTTACAAATGCATATCATACAGAATGGTTAAACAGGACACAACTGGCACGGTACGAGCATTAAACAGATGTATATCAGGGGAAGGAACATAAGAAATTAGTAGTAAGGGAATTCGAACTTCGAAGCCATAACAGCTGGAGATGTCAATAATACAAAAAATTACAAGCAATACATACTGAGCAACTACAATTAGAAGAGCTGAATGCCCATATTGCACCCAATTACAGGAAGAGAAATGAGGCAAACCAGTTCGACTATTTCAGACCTGAGGGCTTCTTCTTGCCAGCAACTTGAACTCTTTTTCCCCTCTTCAGAGTCCTGCAGTTGTTCTTGGTTTGTTGTCTGCGGCAAGGCAAACTCTGAATGTGCCTTACCCCTCTGTAGCATTGCATCTCCTTTACTCCTTTACTCGCGTAACTGTTACAGCATTGATTCGCCTGTGTACAATCCGTCTAATAAAAACCATGCATTACTTAAATATATCGATTTTCACAACCCATTTCCAACACCACCAAATTATAAATTGGAAACTAAAAGCAATTTAATATCTATCCATGCAAAATTATCAAAAAAACATCTCTAAATTTGGACAATTCTATCACAATTACAAATAAATTCTATGCCATCAAACAGCAGAAAAGCTTCTCATTTCTTCAAACAAGTGAATATCCAGATTCCAAGTATATCTCTGACCTTTCAAGAATGAATGGAATACGATATATTAAATGCTAGTACAGGTTTGTTGTACATAATCCTTTGATATAAGATGCAAAATAATAATGATCACCCAAATAATACCATTTTCGTGATACAGAGGCACAGGAAAGCAATTTTTGGCAAAAGATACATACAGGTGCACAGCTGCATAATCTGATCATTTGAAGAGCAGTCGACGAAGTAGTTTCAGGCCTTTCCGCATAGCAAAAAATTCACAGTTGGTTAACGAGGTGATTTATAATTCTGGAATAAAATTTGAGCCATCAATAATTATAATATATCACTATATCTTGACACTTGATACAATCTAGAATCTACCTGTATGAAACATAATTTCCTAGATCAAAATTCACTGTTCTGCAAAAACATTGGAGCTTATTTCAAAAAAGTAAATCAGTTTTCATGATTCTTCCTCAGGAGCTTCTGCAGCAGCTATCTCAGAGTCTAATTTGTTAACAAAATTCTCGCTCACGTGTTTTGTTACTGAGATCATATCAAGGACTATACTTGGATCTACACCTGCACCCCCACGCTTGGAAAGACCACATATAAGGCCTTTCCTATTGATAGAGACAGACATTGCGGAACTCATTTGAGATTCCTCCTCTTCTGTTGCATCTACTATGTAATGTTTTCCTACCTGAATAATGCACAGAGTTGTCACAAATAGAGCATAAAACTCTTTTCAATTTTGAAGATAGGTATTAGTGTCTTGTGCATAATGGTTTATTAGATGAGAATATAAAACAAGGCAAATAAAACCATTTATGCTTTACAAAAGAAGTTGTGATGAATGGTGCGGAACCTTGGTTACTGTAACAATCACAGGTACTGCAGAAGTGTTAAACTGTAAAAATTCTTCATCGCTAACATCAACTTCAGGTTGATCACCAGCAGATGTTGAATCAGCAGCAATGACATTAACTTTTGGAATGCCGGTATCACTTAAAGTAGCCTGTTCAAGAAGTGGGATCAGTAAACATTATCAATAGACCATCAAGTATAAAATAAAGTGCTTTTAGACGAATGTCAGCATGAATGTCAAAGCTATAGCAGCAGCATACATGTCCTTGGATTCTGAACAAATTCCACTCCCTTATACTCAAAAAATGATTCTTAATTTCAAAACCCTGCATTTCTGTTTATAGAAGTTAAGATGCTAAGTTTCTGATAACCCAAAGGACATATAGCTCCATTAATAGGTTGCTTGAGCTAAGCACCTCATGTAAGTACAGTATATCCATTAAACAAAGTTGAAAGTTGTAAAGGAGTAACAGGAGGACTACACAATGGGGAATTGGGAACAGAAGAGTAAATTCTCTTCACCTAAATGTGGAGAGGAAGATGTAATTCCTCAACTTTCTTGTATGATTTGACTCTTAACAATCAACAAGCTCTCAAAGTTTTGGCTGACAGATCACAGAGGGAATAGGGTAAGTTTATAACAGGCCAAGCTAATTTCATGAACAAATTAAGAAAAAGGTTGCAGCAGCACAATAAAATTAGGTAATACCTTGATTGCAGCACCTAAGGTATCCAGCATATTCCCATCTGAACTAACCACAAGGCCATCAATATAAAGATCCCAACAAACCTTCCCTTCCACAATAGATAGGGATGAAAGGTCAATTCCAGCTCCTAAAATAAAGTGCATCATACATTATCCACAACTCTTTCACCTTGATATAATACGTGAATATTAAGTATATGCATGTTCATACAAAAGTCCCTACCTGCTCCACTTTTACCATCCAAGAGGCAACACTGAAGATCAGCAGCAAGTTCTGTTGATAATGCCTCACCCCCTTTGCCCTGTGACTTGAGACATGTAAAGTAATCCCTGGTCAATAACAATAAACAACGACTTGTATATTTGCTTGTCCTAGTATACAGGGCAATAAAATTATCAAAAGATGGAGTTCATACAGAATAAAACTCAAGTAAGAAAGCACAAAAATACATTACATATAAGTCAGGAGCTAATGAGTATTTGACTACAAAAAGCTATCTACATTCTCACTTTTTGAGCAAAAAATAGCACTTCAAATGATAGACAGCAACAAATTTGAGCTATGGTTTTCAACAATCCATACAAAATCATAGGAGGTTGGAATGAAAGACTACTTTCCATATCTAACAGGTCATTAGAATTAAAAATAAATTCTAGGGAATGAACACTTAATCTGTAGCCTGTCCAAGTCCCTAACAATCAAGGATTAAACATGACTTTGCTACCCATGAACATCTCAAAGTCGTATTCTTAATCCTTTATTTATATTCCGACAAAGGGAGTTCATACTTAATAGGCAATGAATTAATAGATAGAACAATACAAAGAGAAAGAAAACCTGAAAGATAGGTGCAGCCGTAGCACTACAATCAATGTGTATTGAAACCTTTCCTTTATCGGGTTGAGACAAATTGGGTCTCCCTAATTCTGCCTGCACTCGATCAAACACACTCATTACAACCAAAACTAACTATGGATGAGAACCTAAATCATTACATTCCAAAAGACGGTATCCAAAATAATCTACCTTGACACTAGCAATGACCTCGGTTCCCCCAATTCACACTCTTGCTGAACCATTTGCCTATAATTAACAACAATCATCATCTAAATTTCCACTCAAATTGTGATAATAAGAATTGAAGGGGCTCAAGGGAGGAGCAAGACCTATGGAATGACCCCGGTATCAACATGAATAGGTCGATACGATAAGCGTTTCCGACCATCACAACGAAGATTTTGAGCAATACCACCTCTAATGAAGTTCTTTTCTCCAAATGATAGTCTCACCATGTTCAATTTCCTAGTATTAACAACTTAACAAGTAATGATCACACATAAACTTTTTTTTTTTTTTTTTTTTTAAAATAAAACTGTTAAATTAAGCTGAATAATTGCAATGGTTCAATGGTATTAAGGCCTAATTAATCATCAATCTAAACTATAAATTTGGCTTAAAACTTGCAACACATTAGCAACCAAATTTGACAAAATTACCAAATTAAGATAGGAAAATTACATTAAATTCTTTGGCTTCAGAATACCCAGAAAAATTACAGCAAAAAAATGGAATCAGTGTAACTAATAGTTGAAGAATCCGAACCCTAAATTGACTATACTGACAATTAAATCAAAGAAAATGTGAAACTAAATTGTAGATATTCGATGATTAATTTTCAAGAAATAAATAAAAAACAAGTACCTCAGAACTCAGAAGCCGCTTCAATGGAGGAGAAAATCAGGGAAAGCTAAGAAGGCTCTTCAATGGAGATTTCAGAGTACACGCTTCAATGGAGAAGCAGCGTAAAAGTGATACTCTCTGTAAGCTACAAAGGGGAAGTTCTCCCTCGCTTTTTTTTTTTTTTTTTAATTTTTTTGTTTTTTATTTAGTGTCCAATTTGAGTGGCACATTGCAAATTTGCCCAATATGACTACGTTATACTTCCTTAATTTCGTAATAATCGCAATGGTAAGATATACAGTAGGAAAATTATATCATAGGAACAAACAATATTTTTTTTTTCTATTTCTTCCTCCGTTTCCCTAATATTGCAACAATTAGATGATTGCCGAGCCATGTTAGTTTTTACGTAGTATAAATTATTGATAATTGAATTATAAAAGTTTTAGAGAGATGTAACACAATAGTCAATTATATAATGAATTCGCAAATAATGCTTCTCTTAATAATAATTAAAAAAAAAAAAAGATATAAAACTCCAATCTAGAATAGAGCTAGGATACATAGACACTTTACCTAACTGTTGTGTCCGTGTTAGACACCGACACTTGTTGGACATACGACGATATGTCTCGGACCATGTCCTATTAATCTATTATGATATGGCGTGTTGTGTTTTGTGACACGACACTTTATCTTATTCAATTTTTTTTTTTAATGAGAAAATGTAAGTAAAGTAAGATAATATAAATAATGTAATAGCTAGTTACTGATTTTTACATACTGAACTGAAATAATTTTATTAAAGTGAAATTATTTTAACCAAACTAAACTTATTTTTTTACTGAAACAAACTTATTTTTACTAGACTAAAACTATATTATCAAAGTTAATATGGAGTATATAAATAATAAATAAAAATTCAAACTCATCAATTATTTTAGGACAGGAGGAATATTATTTATTAAATACATTTTCCTTAAATTAGGCGATTAATGTGGGTTAGGGTTTAAAATAAAAAAATTCCTAAGGGATAGCAACAACTGTCAAATTAAATTTCCAAACACATTCAAATCAATAGATGAAAATCATCCATCCAATTACGAGAAATCATTAGATCATCTTTCTAAAAAAGTTGTATATTATAAGAAATTACCTTTTCAGATTTTTAATTTGTGACTAAGGGCCTGTTCACATTTACTTAATTTCAGTTCAGTTCAGTGCAGTTCAGCTCCAATCAGTTCAGTTCAGTTCAGTTCAGTTTAGCTCTTAATTTCCCTCTCTCATAAAATATTCATTTCAGCTTAGTTCAGTTCATTTCAGCTCTTAATTTCCCTCTCTCATAAAATATTCATTTCAGCTTAGTTCAGTTCAGTTTAGTCCAGTTCAGCTCCAATTAGTTCAGTTCAGTTCAGTTCAGCTCAATTCAGTAAATGTGAACAGGCCCTAAGTATTAATTAAGTTATACTCGTAGATAGCAAAATCGAACACCATTTAAAATCATATGATATATGTCATATAATGAATAAAAAATTAGTCAAATTTATTAAACTCCTGATAATTTTGAAAAGGACAATAGTTTAGTGGAAACACATTTTTCTTGTTTCCTATTTTTGGTTTTTATTTTCTAAAAAACTGAAAACTAAAAACAAAAAACATTGTGAAACAAACCTAGTTAATTTTAAAATTCATTATATATATATATATATATATATATATATATATATATATATATATATATATATATATATAATCTCTAGCTAGCTAGTAACAACAATAATCAAATTATCAACATTCCAATGGATTTAACTACTTACACTAAATCTAAACGCACAAAAAAAAAAAAAAAAAAACGAACACATGAAATAAATCTAATTATACGTAAGTAAAGATCAAGAGGGAGTTAAAAACGAATTCCAAAAGAAAAATAAATCCAAATAATGGTAATTAAGTATATTTTTCTAATACAAGTATGTTCCTAAAGATGGCCTAGACAAAGTGTACAAAATTATCTTGTAAAAAAAGCTTAAGAATAGTATAATTAATAATTGATCAAGCAAGGAAATGGTCTTAATTACTTTTTTGGTATGACCCAAATTAAGATTTAAAGGTGAACATTTGAGCTCTAATGAGTATGATGCTTCAGTTCCATGCAAATTTGGATCGAATATCAATTCCCCTAAAACAGCTTTGAAGTCTCCAGCACTCCATTCCTGTCATCACATATAATTAAGCAAGTTCATATCAAATTACAAATCCTAAACATGATACTTCGAAATAAAAATAAAAGTGTACTATTTCAATTGATTGTGTATAGGGTTCGCCCTAATTCCATAGAGTACTGCATTAGTAATGTGTGAACGTATTATTTAGATACAAAAGAAGTAATTTACGTACTTGAATTATTAGAACCTACTACGTATAAGAAGTCATCTATGTTTATTGCAACTTAGGGCATGTTCTCATTGACTGAACTGAACTGAATTGAGCTGAATTGAACTGAACTGAAATGAATATTTTATAAGAGAAGGAAATTAGGACAGAGCTGAACTGAACTGAATTTCAACGTATGAGAACAAGCCCTTAGACACGTACAACGCCTTATTACTACTAATTAATTAACTTAAGGCTTGTTTGGCGTTAGTTTTTTGTTTTCAGTTTTTTTTTTTTTTTTTTTTTTTTTTTTTTTTTTTAAAACAAGAAACAAAAAAAAAAGATGATTCTACTTTTCTATTGTCAGTGAAGTTAAATGAACCCTTAATTATATGATTTTGAAAAACAAAAAACCAAAAAACAGAAAACCACAGTGATGCCAAACGAACCCTTAATTAAGAGTATAAGACGGCTATAAATAAGAGAAAGACGTACCTTGAGTTGTTCTCCAACAGTGACAACAATGGTATCAGGGTCAGTGCTAAAGGACAAAGGGCCTTTATCTGTATGCACATAGAATTCGCCGCGTTCCATAGCCATATGCAGACTCAAAGCATGATCATAAGACTCGTGGATGTCCTCGTTTGATACGAGCAGGCTAGGGTGCGTGTCATTGTACCTATATAAGCTTATTATGGATTCCCTCTCCTCGATCACCTTTTCAAATCGCTTATCTGAGAATTTTGACAGTACTTCTGCTAATTCCTCTGAGATTCTGTCAAGTTTGCTCACTACACCTTCCATCTTACGGCTGCAAATTAAACACCAAATGTACCATAAATTTAATTTGTAATTCAAGATGTTGCATAAGCTATGATTAGTTATATTTAAATTAAAATAACGCAAAATATTGATATCCAAATTTTGAAGATAAGGCCCTCCAAATCTATTGTATGCATTTTAACTTAATAAAGTTTCAACTTGAGCATTGGATCTCAACTGACACGAGTACTTGAGGTTAAATGAAAAACTAAAAAAACATACGTAGACTTAATAATATGCAAGGGTGACATGAATTTAGTAAGCGATGCACCTTACAAACCCGAATATACTAGATTGATAGTGTATATAAACCAATTTTGGGCTTTCAACTAACATAACCATCCACCACGCCTAATAATCTCTTAATTGGTTGAGTTGGTCCAACACATAATTGGCCGGTTTACATAAATGACTAATTATAATGTATTAATCCTAGCAATCAAGATACCAAATTTGGTCACATCTGTCTAACCAAAATACCATTCTAACCATTTGAAAGACCATTACACCCATTGAACTTGGATTATACAGCATGACTCGTAAAATCATTATGAAACGGAGGTAGTACTAAATCGGATCGGATTTAATACTAATATTCTTTCACATACAAGACCATATACATATATATAACACTATTATACAGTATACTACATATTTTACCTGAAATCAAGGTATCGATCTGAGCCCATGACCTCCCGAGCCCAAAGCAACATGGCCTTATCAGATTGAAACCAAACAAACTCCTCTCGATTACCAACCCTATCAACGAAACTCTTCCTAAACTTAGTCTTCCTCTCATCAAGACTTTTGAAGAACAGCTCGACCTCCGCTTTAACCAACCGAATCTCCTGCCTCTCGATCCCATGCCCAACGATCCGAACCACCCCAAACTCCCTCGCCGACCGAACCAGCCTCTCGATAGAGTTCCCAACCCTCGAGACCAACAGCCTGTAGTCTATCTGAGCCGGGATTCGAACCTGGGTCGTGTGAGACAAGTTGTAAGGATCAGGTAGACGTAAGTAAGGTATTTGTAGATTATTTGTAAAGTAATCAGTTAGCTTACGATCATCTATTGCTGCTGATCGAGACCCTTTCGCATTCGGTATCGGAGACGGTGGCATTGCGAAGGATTTCATCATTTTCGACGACGACGATAATGACAACGATGATCGTCTCTCACGGGGTGTTGAAGGGGTCATGTAATGGTGTTGTTGGTTATTATTGTGTGATGACATTTTTGGTGAAAGAGAGAGAAAGAACAGAGGGTTTGGAGGTGGTCTTACGGTGTATTCTGTTATTTTACAATACTATAATAGAGAAGACGTTGAGGAAGCAAAGTGGGTTGCCACGTCTAATCTCAATATTAATTTCAATTCTATTTAATGTCTTAAATTATTTTGTTACAATGTTTATTTAT